TATCTCCCCCCCCCCCCATTTCATTTCATGGTCTATTTTTTATTTCTTAATAAAAAGTGTCTTCATTTATTCTTTATTAAATAACCTTTTGACTGATATGATCTGGCCATCTTATTAAAACATCATATTAAAGAAAAAAAATATATAGTTGTGACATTTTCTGTTGGGACATTTTTTTTTTTTTATATAAAATGTATATTATATTACAAAATTCTTATTAATTATGGTTTAAACTTTGTTTTAGCATTAATCCAATTTAGGCCTAAAGGAAACATAATAATAATGGTGTTGTTCACCTACAGTAGTACCTCTGCTTAAGTGTATCTACCTTATGGTCTCTCTGACTTGCTCTCTGTCTCTCTTCTATTTGTCCGGCTTCTTGAACGCCACTTTCACTTTGCAGATTACTTTAATTGTAATTGCTCTCTACCTTTGGGCTTGAGTCTTGCAGGATGATGAAAGACGTTGCGTTTTATGTCAGGTCTACTTCTATTGCTTTCAAAATCATTTACTACTACAACGTGCCCAGATGATTAGCGAGACAAGGAACTGTTTGATTTATACCTCCTGACAGACCTGTTGCAAGAGAGACCCAGACCATGTAATTTTTATTAAGTTTCATGTCAAACGTTTATTCTAAAACTATCAGTCACCATAAGAGAAAAGACACAAACCAGGGCCAAATCTGTCTTTAGACAAATGCTTTTCTGCTGTTCAGTCCTGAATTATGTTCCAGTGACACAGTCTTTATTCATTCTCTAAATGTAGCCATTAATTATTATATTTTTAATTTAGTTATTTCTAAGGTTGATTACAAAAGCAGCAACATCCAGATAGTTATCTGTGTAGATTTATTGCAAGTTATTTCAGGAAAACATACAAGGAAACTATATGTAATATCATCGTAAACTTAATTGTACAGTGTTATTATTATTTTTTTGACAATGTTTTATTATTATTATTATTATTATTATTATTATTATTTAACACTGTCACACATTTAAAAAAATGTTATTATTAAATATTATAATTTCATTATATATAACTCATAAATATGAAAGATATAATTTATTGTTTTAATGTTTAATAATAGATTTATAATAATAATAGATTTAAATGTATTCATGTATATTATTATTATTATTATTATTCAATATTATATTAGTATTATATATTACTCTCTCACAAAAACACTTTTGCTACCACTTTTGCTTAAAAAAAAAATCACAAAAGAAAATCTAAATTTCACCAACTGTTTCACTTTAGAGTCAAACCATTTCTTGTAGTTTTAAGATATAAATGTCATTTAGAATGACGGATTTTTGTCATTTCACATGGTGCCATGCTTCATTGCAAAATATTTTTAAGTTAAAATTAAACATCGTGTTAAAAGCAGCTGAAAGAAGTGATTTCAACTGGTGAAGCTCCGTTTTTGGCCATCTGAGGTCGCTATTTCCCTTCCAACCGAACTCGTATTTTGCCTCACAGAGAAACACTGAAAAGTTTTTGTTTTGAATAACAATGCATGCTTCCGTCTCTCCCAAGCTCTCATCCCTGCGCTCCGAGTCCGTGGCAGCATCCACTCACTCTTTTACTACTGCCTGCGATGTGACTCCACGCCGCTCGCTGGAATATCACCCTGAGTGACAAGTGACGGATTTTACGCGCACGCCACGCAGTCCGGTTTTCCAAAATCAAGAGGACACCGCGGCAGCGGCCAATGCCTTTTACCATGACTGTGGGATTAATAACGATTTTGTGTGCTGTAACGACCGTTTTCGCAATGGAAGGTAAATATGTGGATGTTTGTCTCTGTGGAATGTTACGCGCGCCGCGCGCTTCAGGTTTGACAGGTGAATGTCTCGTAGAGGAGATTTGCGTTGGGATTTATTCGCGAGGACTAAGTTGGGTATGGAAAAATATCTTTTTGGCATCCAACGGAGTTGGGACGGAGTTTCTGTGGTGGTGTGACAGACGCGGGAATGGTCGTGGTGCTGAATGTTGCGGAATGAATGAGGATTTAAGATGGTTGGATTACTTAAAAACCCTGCTGGATTTTATGATAACTGTGGTTAAGAACATAGTAGCGGGTCATTTTATGATCAACCAGCTAACATTATTCCGCTTAAGCTGGTATGTTGCTGTTCCAAGATGGTCTTCTAGACTGGACCAGCTAAAAACCAGCTAATGACCATCTTGGACTGGCTAATGTTCAATTAGGACAAGAAAAACCAGCCTGGCCACCTTAAGCTGGTTCAAAATAGTCTACCAGCTAGCATTTATGTGTGGGTAAAGGATTCTTGGTAATCTTTAAGACAGATGTTCTGTTCTGAATGATCTGAAAGGCTTAGAAGTGTCATTTTTGTGTTTTCTTGACAGTTTAAGTGCTTTCTTAGAGAGAAAAAAAGGTTATTTTCTGGCAATGTAGAAACTGACTGGTTTTAGTGTGATTTTGGGCAGTAAAAATGACCTATACACTGACTTTTTTTTTAGTGCAGTTTACTCTTAGATACTTTAAAAAAGCTAGAAACAAATATGTATCATCCATATTCAGGATGGTGAAAAATCTATGATTTACTTGCACAAAAGTTGTTAGGAAGAATGTTAGAGACTGACAGCTTCAGTCACCATTACTTTCATTGCATTTTTCTTCCATATAATGAAAGTGAATGGTGACTGTCATTCTGCCTAACGTAGCCTTTTGTGTTCCACTGAAGAAAGTCAAACAGGTTTGGAATGATATGAGGGTGAATAAATAAAGGCAGAATTTCATTTTAGGTGAACTATCTCTTTAATTGACAAACCCATATAGGACTAGTAATACCTGCGTCCTGTTCAGGAACGTTTGTGTGAACACAAAACCACAGATGAAGACCACCGGTGTCATATTGTATTCAGGTCACGTCAGTGCATGATTTATTCTGAAAAATCAAGCAGAAACACAGCAAGAATGAGAGAGGGGGAAAAAAATCTCCCTCCTTGTCTGGCATTTGACAGATGGTGGTTGACTGGTTGTTGCGGCCATGCCAGAAATCAGACGTTCAGTTCGGCATGCTATGTGTGTGTGTGTGTGTATAGAGACTGGTCTCCAGATCAGTAATGAACACACAGCCAACATGAAGGGATTGTCTATTTGTTTCCATCTCCACTGCCTGTCCAATTCCATCCATCACACAACCTGTTTGCTTGTCTTTCTGTCTGAAAACACTCATACAGGTATTGAGTAAGTCTGTATAGTTTTCACACAGTTTTATTTGCAACCCTCTGCTGCTCGCTAACTCAGTTTGCTTTTGCGTGCATGCTTTATTTCATTATAAACCAAAATGCTCTATGATTTAGCACAGACAGTCAGCGCTAAATGATGTCTGTCTGCGCAAGCTCTAATGTGTCTGATTTAGATTCCAGCCATACAGAACAGACAAAAGCATTGCTGAAATTAACTTAGGAGAGTTTTTCCCCCCATGTTCAAGTTGAAGTGTGTCTGAAGGCAGCAGATGGAGGGAACAGGGTTAGTGATCCCTTCTTTAGTGGCCAATTGAAAGGCAATTGGCCTTTGTGGTTTGAAGTGTATTTGCTGTGGTAGGTTTGTGTGTATTAGCCTGTCCTTGAGCCTATATCAGGCAGATCATATTGGCTACTAATTGCCAAACCAGCCCGGTGACCACAAACAATGTATCAAAGCCATGTGCACCTCTGAGAAGGTGACAGAGCAGATGAAAGAGATGGGAGAGGGAGACGAAAAGCAAAACTGTGTGTGCGTGTGAGGAAGATGAGGGTCTGGGAGACCATCTGGCTTAGTGGAAAGTGGAGTGACTCCGCTTTGACACGTTTCCATGCGTCAGTGAGCACAGTTCATCAGCCGTGCCTAATAATCATAAATCTGATGAATTATGAATGCACACATATGTCATTGCGCTTGTGAAACACTACTAATGCATAAATCTGTCTAGGTTAGATGATGTTAGATGGTTATACAATTGTCAGTCTGTGGTTTAGGGAACGGATGTTTATTACATCTGTTTTTTTGTGTGTCTTTTTTAGCACGGCAAGAGTATTATTAGTATTTCTAATATAATGAATAACTATATAGAATTATATAATATTTATATAATACATTAATTGTTTATTTTTTTGAATATATAAATAAAAAAATTAAATAAACACTACATAACAGCATAACAAATGTATAATATTAATATTATTTATAACAATAGTAATATTATGTATGTATGTATGTATGTTTGTTTGTTTGTTTATTTATTTTTTATTAGGCATGGGCCGGTATGAGATTTTGACGGTATGATAACCTTAAGCAAAAATCACGGTATCACGGTATTGTCGTTATAAAATGTGTTATTTTTAAATGACTGGGTAAAACAAAATAATATTATTTTCCGCTGAACACAATATATTTTGTTTTTGAGCAACATACAGATTATTAGGAACAATAGAATTTGTTTCTTTTTTTCTTTTGATTTGTTTCCTAAAAAGAAGAAAAATAAAGACTGACATCTTTATTTAACCTAAATCTGTAATTACAGTTATTTAATTTTAGTTATATAATTCATATACATATCATTTATATCATTTCATATCATTTAGTTATATAATTTCATGGTTGCCGATCGCGTAAGTTCCAGGGGCAGCTCCTTAAGTTCGGCCATCCAACACACACGTGACTGACCGCTCGCTCGCACCAACAGGAGGAGGAGGGTCGTGTTACTCTCTACATTGCACTCAACTTGAGGGATTCCTACACTTTCAGTCTTTGAGGAGACATGAAAAACAAAGGCAAAATGTCATCATGTTATATTTTATGTAACTTTAATGCTGTATATCAGAGCGCTGCCTTTGTACTTTTGACTGAATTGTCTAGCAACTTTTATGATGGCTGTTGTTGTTGTTGTTTATTATTATTATTCAACAAATACTATTTTATATTCATAGTAGTATTTAGTATTGAGAAACAGTGTGTGTGTTCGTGATGGTGATTCAAGTGACATTGTTCCGCCATTAGATGGCGACAAGAGACTGTTTTACGTGTCAGCAGTAAAGACTTTTATGTTGAAAGAGACTGAAACGGAAGTTATTTTTACTTTTAATAACAGCTTGTAAGACGCAGTTAACAAATGCACTGAGCAGCACTGTCATTGGAAATCACCCTTAACAGATGAAAGATAGAACGACAAAGATATTGCTTTCCTCGGCGGACATTCAAACTCATGTTTTATTGTGAATATGAATATGAGCTGAAGAATGAATGCTGTATCAGATGCAGGTAATCACAAAATAAGCTTTTAATGAAGCAACTCAACGTTCCTTCGTTACTAGTTCTAAAGTGATGTTTTCGAATTAGAAACGGAGGCTTCAGCTCAGCTGTTAAACTGTCAAACTGTGATTTGAATCTGTGGCGGAAGGAAGTAGTTCTGCACAAAAGGGTTTTTAAAGACACTGTTGTTGTTTTTCCTATATATTTACACACTTGTGCTGTCGAACTGTTGTATAAACGCAATATCACATGAGTAGACGTGAGATATGGCTGTATATCGGCACGCTGTGATTACCTACGGCCGAATCACAACCATGCCAATATACAGCCATATCTCACATCTACTTGTGTGATATTGCTCATATGTATTTATAGTTAGTGTTGTTATTATTATTATTATCCTGTTAACCAAGTACATAAATGGTCTTTGTAATTGACCCATCTTTAAATTCAATAGGACATTAAATTTGACCTCCTTAATATTTTTGTTTTAGGTCTTGTTGTTCATAATTAATCGTTTCATACATTATTAGGCTTTTTGACATTATGCGTCATGTTTTACTCTGAAAAGCATCACATTACGAAAAATTATGTAGGTACAGGTAGAAAATTAGGTTTCATCTTGATTTAAAAGAAAATGATGTGTCGATCATGAACTGTGTTTGAATTTTCACTTGAGTTGATTAGAAACTGATGTGAGTCATAAAATAAGCTTTATTATGAAGAATGCCATGATAATCTTCACTCAGGTGAGCTTTCTTAGATCTGTTTTGCTTTTCTTGTGTGTCAGGGAGGATTTAAGTGCTCAGTCAGGATTTTAAGTGCAGGTTTGATTGGCCTGTCATTTTTCTCTCGGTGGAAACATCAAATAGGTTATAGAAAGCACTCTAGACTCCTAACACACACACACACTCTGACATCCAAACCCTCGGTCAAGCCCTCACCATTTAAAGAGGTCTGAGAGTGTGGTCATGTCAGTAAGGGCATCGCGAGTGCATCCTTGTTCCCACATCACTGGCCCAAATAAACAAGCCTTATCTGAAGTCACTCGTTCTGTCCTCCGTTACTGCCGTGGTCGAAGTTCGTTTTATCAAATGACTTCACCGCAGACCGAGCCAACGTCCCGCCCGACACTGTTGTTCTGTTATAGACAAAGGAACCCAGTGGAGTTTACACACACCCGCTGCAAGGACATGGCACTGCCATCGGTGTACTGAGTTGACCTTAAATCACCTGCCTCATCTAAGCCACTAAATGATCATTCAGTTGAACCCGTCAACCCAGGACAGCTTACTAATTTACGCACTTTGAGATATTATTTATGTATTATTTATTTTATATATATATATATATATATATATATATGTATATACACAATATTATATAATATTTATAAAGTACTATATTTTACTATAGTACTATATTCTAGTTTTTTAAATAAATGTTATTTGTAATAAATACTTATATGAACTACTTTTATAAATAATTCAATTCAAGTTTATTTGTATAGCGCTTTTCACG